GACGCGGAAAAAAAATTTTGGGGAATATTCTTGATTCATTATCAGTACCCCTAACACTACATAAAAAAAATAAAACCCGACTACCATCGAGTTTTCCTTCTACAATCTTTCTAACGAGCGGAGATTTTTCGGCCAAACTCGAGGAAAAGGTGCTTCGGGACGACAATTCGTTTCCTATTGCAAACGGGCCAGATCCGCCCGAAACTTTTCGAGTTACGATCTTTTTAATTTTTTTTCGAAAAATTTTCTAACGTTTTGTAGGGCGAGAGAAATTTTCGAAATTGGCCGAACGAAATACACGAATCGACAGGTTAAAGACCAAAGTTTGACATAGGTACTAAAAGATGAACTTTATCGAATAAAAACTAATCGTCCAGATTCTGGTCGATTAGTTTTTATTCTGGCCGCCAGAAACCCGTTTAATTTTTGTTGGGTATTTAAAAAAGTTAACCAATTAAAATCCCCGAAATCAAATCGTTTACAGGGAGATCCAACAAAATATTAGGTAATAATGCAGCATTGCCAAATTTAATTGCGGTGTTGCCAGCTTTTGTAAAACTTTCCCAATCGAAAAAATATAATTAATAAAATTCATTTATCAGGTGGATCTTTGAATTAAAGTCGATTTAATTTTTTTCGCAAATCATATACAGGAAAACAAAGTATCCAGCGACACTTTGACAGATGTTAAGTGAACAGGTGACATATGTCAAGTGACAGATGTTAAGTTAACAGATGATAGATAACAGATTACAGGTGGCAGCTGACAAATGGCAGATGACAGATGTCAAATGGTATGTGACATGTGAGAGATGACAGATGACAAGTGAAAGATAAAAAAAGACAGGTGGCAAATGACAGGTGACAGGTGGCAAATGACAGGTGACAGGTGGCAAATGACAGGTGGCAGATGACAGAAGACAAATGACAGATGACATTTGACAGATGACACATATAAGGTGACAGAAGACGTGAGAAATATAAAATTCATCTTTAAAATTACTACCCAGTTTAAAACTGTCAATTGACAGTGTATAAAAAACTCGTATTTAAAATACTTTATTCGACGATTGGGTGAAGTTTTTTATACTTTGGTAAAAAATTCTATTCTACGATATGTCAAAGGACCAATATTTAAAATTTATCTATAGATACCTAAAAAAATCCTATATATTATTTATTAAATTATAAGGAATTCGTGAATGCAAAAAAGGTTTTTTGTTTCCTAAAAGTAGACTTATTTGGACGTGGCACCTTCAGGCAGGGGCGGATCTAGAATGTGTCATTGGGGGGGTGGAGTTGAAAATTTTTGTAAAAAATAAGAAATTTGAAATTAAAGTTATTCCATTTTTTTTAATATTTTCTATATTAATTTAAAAATTTATGTTCAATTTCCACTTGATAACTTACTTCCGGGGGGGCGATCGCCCCCCCTTGGATCCGCCAATGCCTTCAGGGCTAGCTACGCCAATGGGTTTTCGTTTTCAAGTTACAGGGTGTACAAATTTTCAAAAGGTTTAAATACCGTCACACGGAAAGAGTTACAAAAAAAAACGCAAGAGGTAAATTTTGGATGAAATAAAAAGCAAAAATAATAAATAAAAACTTATTTTTTCCAGTTATGGCAATATTCGATACGACATTGAGTAGGTACCTACCCTACAAAGTCAATTTTTGTTTACTTCCACTAGAGCAGCACTATCCTTAATGATAATTGGTGTGCGAAACTTTCGAACACTAGTATACTATAGTTATTAAATACATTTTTTAGTTTTAGCGAGTTTCCTGTAACTTGAAAACGAAAACACGTATAGCTTACTAACAGTGCCGGTTTTTTTCTAGGGGTGGTTGGGGCGGCCGCCCGGGGCCGTAGTTGGACCGATGTTTTTTAAACATCACTTTTTTTTTTTTGATTTACGTAATTCACTGTTAATACAAAATTTGCAACTTTTTGTTTAGAAATTTTATTATTATACCTATTTGTATTATTTATCCAAAAGTTGATTTTTATTAATTTTATGCACGATGACATTATAATATGACAATTATAACAAAAATTCTTTGACGTAAACGTCTTTTTATAGCCCGCGGGCTTTATTATGGCCCAGCGGGCTATAATGAAACGTCAAAAATTAAAAGCAACAATGTTACACCATTTGATATATTCGAAGTAAGTTTTTTCGTATAAAGATTTTGATTTTACCGGCAGCAGGCCGCAATTTTTCGCCTTTTCAGCTGCTTCCTCAATTTCATTTATCTTTAAACTTTAAAACTGACTGATGTCAGTTGACATTATAATATGACAATTATAACAAAAATTCTTTGACGTAAACGCCTTTAAAAACAATAATATATTAAAAATAATAATATATTAATCGTGCATAAAGTTTTGTATGCATTGCTGGCAGGGCCGGCCCGACTTTTTTTGCCGCCCCGGGCGAAGATATTTTTGCCGCCCCCTTTTTATTCAGCAGGAATAGGAAAAAAAGTAGTTTAACGTAATTATTTTTTCAAACTTTTTATAAGAGTTTTTTATGCTTTAGAATTACTAGGTAAGTACTGTTAAATATGTATATATACATAATTGCATCACTTGTCAATGATTATATCCCATATATAGGATATAATATAAATATATTATTAAATAGTTTCACTATAATAGTGAGTATAATTAAACAATATTTTTATATTACAAGAATTCTTTGGTTTGTTAAAATTTACTTTCGCAATATTCCGCGAGCTATAGCTATAGATTATTACATACATAGGTAATTGCTGTTAAAATATCGTATTTTTGTGCACCCGAATATTTTAAGTAACTTACTTACTTCAGGTGAATCATCTTTAAAAAAAAGTAAATTAACTTAATAATTACGTAATGAGTTTAGCGGACTTTGGCAAAACCGAATCCTGCTGTTATGCACGTCAGAAGATTGATTTTAGACCTCTAAAAACAATGTTTAGATATCCACAACAAAAATTAAACTTCATTTTCATATATGCAATATTGTTTAATTATAGTATAATTAGTATACCTGCCTACGATGGTTCTTTTTGCAAGAATTTGAAAAAGGTTGCTGCTAGTACTCGATTTTCCGCCACACGCGCCCTTCTTTTGTTCTTATAAAAAGTTCCTGAATCTTTTTTGCATTTTTCAGACATTTTATACTTCTAATTATCAAATTACCTTAGCATTGCTAAGTTAGCAATGCACTGATTTTAAAATCAGTGCAAATGCACGTGATATAATATTTGTCAATTATTAATTGTTAATTGTCAAACAAAATTATAGAAAACTACAGGATGTGATTGAAGAAACGAATAAAAGAGGGCGCCAGGGTCGTCTTCCCAGAGCGCCTCTATTAAATCTTTGTAACAAAGATATTAAATTATCTAAACTTCATTTCTCGAGCGTAATTCTTGAAAAAATCGCCAATCGAAAAATGTTTAGTACGTTGAATAAAATTGATTATCATTAACAAATCGTAAAAATGCCGCCCTCCCCCATTATGCCGCCCTGGGCGGTTGCCCGGTTCGCCCGTACCTCGGGCCGGCCCTGATTGCTGGCATAACTGGTTTTTATGGTCCTACGACGCTTTTCTAGCCCTCGCGCTAACGCGCTCGGGCTCGAAATAGCGCCTCGGACCATAAAAACCTTATTATGCCCTTAATACATAAATAACTATTATTTTGTTATTATAATAACAATTATAATTATAATTGCTATTTTATTTTTCTCAACCTTACATTACACTCTATGCACAATTTTGGCGAATGCGCCGGGATTAATAAAATAATTTTTAAGCGGAAATCCATTAATTACGTGAGGTAATTTTGGCGATTTTTCGACTTCCCCCCTCCCCTTGGTGAGATGTCGTGAGATTTTGCTCGACCCCACCCCCCTCCCTTAATCTCACGTGAGATTTTTTAAAATGCATGGTTTTAATGTAAATAAGTTAATCTGTGCTTGATTCCATTAGATTTATTTAAAAAACAATTTGCTTATAATTGTTTACTTAATTTAACCCAGTTTTATCGCAATTTTACACTGTTTTATTCGAAAAGAAAAAATGACGTGATATTTGCCGAGACCCCCACGTGAGATTGGGTGAGGTTTGGCTCGACCCCCTCCCCCCCTAAACACCGTAAATAACAGTGATGGATTTAGACTTAGGCCCGTGAGGTCCGGTCCTAGAGCGCGCACAATTTTACAAGGGGCAAAACGTCTGGAAACCACTGTTAAACAGATGTGACTTTGTAATTAAACAATGCATGGATTTGTCACACCTAGATGCTCCAGTGCATTCGGCCTAAATATAAATAGACCCGTAGCTACTTAACTAATTCAGTATTCACCTAGAGACAACTTACCCACCAGTCGAAACGAATTGACGAATTAAAAATACTACGGCAATTAAAGTCCAACACCTTTCGTTCATTCAACAAACTATTCCCTTTCGCTAAACATGCATGTTCATTAACTAGATATGTTTCGTAACATATGTGTCTATTCCCTTTTAATTATAATTTAAATTATCTTAAGTTATAACTTATAACTTTAAACTACACACTTATTTAATTAGGGTGGAAGTGGAATCACGTCGGAGCATCTCCACTCGTTTGCACTATAATACTACCATCGGTCTACAGGGTGTTTTAGCGGCATTTACACCACAATTAAGCTAGGGAAGATAAAGTTACAAATTCATTTTTGGATAATGTCTTAGAAAAAGTTTAGTAACAACACGTTTATAAATGGCGTTTATCAAACTTGATACATAATATACTATTAGCTAAGATTCATTGAACCTGTTTTTATTAATAGTACTATTAGGTAATTATATAATAGTTAAAGTATACTGCGTTTTTTAAACAAAAATGTCCTGGTATCAAATCGTAGTTTTTAAAATTTGGGGACTGCAACTATTAGTTAAGTAAGACCTTGCTTTAAAAAACTTTGGTTTGAGGAAGGGGTACTTGGATAACTACAATAAAACAACTTTTACATATTATATATATTTATTATGTAATCACCTGATTTTATGATAAATCTACAAAACATGGAATATATACTTTAAATATAAACTCTTGTATGTTTGTAAAAATTAGAATATTTAACAATTTATTTGTCTAAGTACACATAAATAAAATTATATAATAAAGGAAATTAAACTGTGGTCTGTTACATAACTAGAAACATACACAAAATGAATACTGAAACAGTGATGTTTTTGTCATCAATACTGTTTAAAAATGGAAAATGTATTTTATTACAATACCAACAAAAAATCATGGAATGTACAAATGGAGGAATTATTATTACATAAACTAGAACACATTTTTTTCAAGATTTTAGTCAGCTTAAAAAATGTACACTAGCTTACAAAAAGATGGTTTACTCATAAAATTAGCTACTAGAGTTTTTTGACATTATATCTACTGAGATCCGCCTCAAACACGACTTAAATTGTACAGTGTTTAAGCTGATTTAACATTCCACATTTTCTATCAAATTTTAACCAATTTCTGCTTACTTTTTAAAAATTTGCTAAAGATTGACTACCACTAGCATAATATATTTTAAATAACTTTGATTTCCAATAATAATTAATGCCTTTATTGTATACATGCTATTATAACTAATAACTATTACTGACACTTATTATTATTTTATAAACTGGGCATTTACAATTTTTAATTAACATTCTAAAAATTTACATTAAAAATCAATCACAAAAACAATCTGTATTTTTAAAATTGCTGCTTTTAAAATATTTGCTGTTCAGACATTTTTGAATCCTCAAGTTAGCACTGGTAAGTTTTGATCACCTACTACTTAAATATTAGGTTATTAATATATTTATATATTATTAATGGAGATGTGTTTTTTATTATACTAACAATTGTTGGTCAATTACTTACTACTAAATGTTAAAATTATGCCCAAAAAATTATCTTCAAAAATATATAAATAAGCATCACATGAAGTACTTATTCCTAATAATTAGGTAAATAAGATAAATACTATAAAAATATCACTTTTTAGACAAATCAAAAACGCCTGAACTAAAAATAATTGTTTATTTATACAAATTGAGATTCAAAACAAATGATTTTGTAAAATTTTGATATAACTGAGATTACTTAATTATTTTGATTCATCATACCTACAACATTTTTTGTAATTTTGGATAACAAAAAACAAATTAACGTTTTTTATCAATCACAAACTTTTTTGGTGTTTCATTTTATCAGGAAAACCCTCGTTTTAAAGTAATTCAATATTTGAAGCCTTTCCTTGAATTATGGTATATGTAGAGATATAATGTAAAAAACATAGTTTTGGCGTTTTGGCCCCTTTTTCGCAAAAAAACAAATTTAATTTAGTTAATACATTTTTTGTAGAAAATTTAGTTTTCACAAAACACGTCATAAGTCGAACATACATATATGCGAAATTCAAATCATCAAAATTAAAACTGTTAATTATTAATGGTTTTATAATTAAATAATATTTATATTAATAATGTTTTCCAGTCATTTTATTTTTTAGGAGTCAAACATAATTTGTTGAATATTTAAAGACTAAACCAAAATAAGTTTGGTCGAAATTTTAAATTTTGATGACTTCAAATTCATACCTAAAATATTGGATTATATTTTAGACTTTTTTGCAGAAGACTAAATTTCCTACAAGAAATGTATTTACTTTTTTCTCTAAAGTTAACAGCTAAAAAACATCAATTTCATCAATCAAACTTTGAACCAATAATGTGAGTTGTATTCAAGCAAACTAATTCTTAACACTATTGTTTAGAGTTCAAAATTGGACTGAATTAATTTTTACACATGTGTACAACAGGATAAGAGTAGCCATCAATGTTAATTATTGACAGAATTTACTTTGTTGTGAATTATTGTGGCGGTTTTGAAAAAACGAAAAAAACAACAATAAACTATTTTTTAAGTTTAGGTCTAGGTATATGTTACATTTTGCAAATGATGAGATTTTCATGAATAAACATATAATGAAATAGTTATTTAAGGTGTCACTAATTTATTTTTCCAAAATTCCTAAATGTAACATAGACCCATAATATTTGAGGGAAGGCTTCATTTATTTGAATTGGAATGTTATTAACTATATTTTTTAAATAGGATTGTAAGTATGTTTTAAAAATGTATTGGATGATATGTTTGTGATATTGTTTACTACTATTTGGGTAATAAAGTAAAAATAATTAATTTAATAATAATAATAGTATTAAATTATTAAACATTGGTAAAAAAGTAATTTAAAATATACAAAATTATAATATTAAGATCTAAGATTTAAGATCTTAAATATTTACATTTGTCAAAAGAGAGCTAAAACAAATTAAAATTTTCAGGTACATTTTTTACAGTTAAAAATGGCAAAGTAAAATGTAATGGGGATGTAGACCAATTTTATTATAAATAATTATGAAGAGATTATTAAATTGTTGTAGCTGAAAAAATGTCGTTTTTGTGCGTTTGTTTATTATTAATTTCACTATTATTCAAAAAATCAAAATGCACTAGTATCATGACAAGGTCCAAGAGCTTTATTTGTTTGTCACAGTCAAATTTAATGACGTTACAATATATTTAATAAAAACACGCTTTTTAGATTAAAATTTTTACTCGGTACACATCCCCATTGTCATTGTAAGAATTGTGATGATTCAAAATAGAGAGAGCAGTGAAAAAATTAGTAGAAAGTTGCTATGCAAATCAACCATAAATAAATCCAACATAAACCACAGTTATATATAAATATATACAAAATATATAAAACTATAAACAAGAAGACTAAGAGCCAGCACAGTTTCGGTTAACAGAAAAACATTGTTGCTTTTCCCAGTCACACCAAATAAAATATACAGTGATAAAAACAAGATTTTTTGGTAAAATTTTGTCACAAAAACAAAATCATTATTTTTTAAACAACACCAAACTGATGGTTGCTCTTAGTCTAAAACTAGATAAAAATTTCCTAAATATCAAAATTAAAGCCTGAATCAGTGTCAAAGGAGTTTAGCAACTCCTGGTCCGTAAAATTCGAGTCAGTTGAGGGAAGGTTGTCCAGAAATTCGAAATTAAAATCGGCCTGCGGGTTAAAGTTGCCTAAGGGGTTACCTTGAGAATTGCCGTTCGAACTCGCAAGCTGATTGGCCAGGTTGGACTGTTGCTGCTGGTGTTGTTGCTGCTGCTGTTGTTGCTGCTGCTGCATCGCTTGGTTTGACACCGTAATTGACTGGGATTGTTGCATATGTATGCCACTCATAGACATCTAAGCAAATTAAAAAATATTACGTTTAGTCGAAAGTTTAATGAAATTTTAATATCTAATTACTAAAAATGGAACTTAAGGTTCCAAAATTAAAGAAATCAGAAAATATGTTTTAGTACATGTTGTCTTTGAAGTCAACATGTTTATTGTATTACGCTAGTATCGGATTTTCGCAACGCGCGCGCCATCTGGTGGACTTCGATAGCATTGCTTGAATTTAAGAATTGTCAACAATATATTTAAAGCACAGATTATACATCATTTTTAAATAAATAGGTAGTTTTTTCACAAGAGAGAGGAAGACAGAAGTCTTACTCGACAAATTTTGTTCGCAAAGTTTCAATTGCACACGTTATTTGTGTTTTACGCTGCAAGGAAAAAACTAAAAAACTACTCAATTTCGATTGATTAAGAAAATCAACGCTTAAATGCTTATATAGTTACGTTAGTGTGTGTATTTTATCTAAGGGATCATGGTGAATTATTGTGTTTTTAATTGTAAATAAAATTCAAGAACTAAATGGTTGTATTTTCATGTTTTGCCAACCCTGCTTAAAATACGCCATATATTTGAGTTCTCTAAAAAACGCCGACAACTGCATTTTAAACAACAAAATATACCTACGAATTCATGGCAACATAATATTATATATAATACATAATATAATGGTATTTTACCGTTGAGTGGAGACTTTCTTAATCAACGCTTTTAATAATGCTAAATGATGTTTAAAATTAGACGACTTATTTGTTTGACGATTTTTACTGAATTGAAATGTTTACACTTTTCACGTTAATCACTCCTAAAATGTGTATTCATTGTATCTAATAGGTACAATTTATATTTACAGAGACTGTATGCAATTTATTTCTTCATTCAGATTAACACTGTTTATTGTAAATCAACTCAACCCAGGATTTCCTCTCAAAATACACCCAACAACACAACAAATCGAGCCACTGTTTTTTTTTTTCGATATTTTTTAACATTTTTCGGCTTTATTCTTAAAAACACTCGTTTGTAACATAACCCTGCTTAAAATACCCCATAGAGACCCTGTTCAAACCGATAGATATTTGTATCGGGATGTATGGTGTTTCCATAGGGTGTATCGGTTTGTATAGGACCCGTAGTTGAGATTTATGGTTGTTCTATAGGGATATCCACCATTGATTTATTTGCTATCGGTTTCAATGGGGAAAATACACATAAATGTAGAAATTAGTTTTTTTCCTATAGGACCCTATAGGTTTTAATAAAATTTTGTCAAATGTTTTATGGTTGCTCTATAGGGATATCCCTATATATCCTTCATTGAGTTATTTTCTATCGGTCTCAATAGGGAAAATGTAAAAGTTATGGTGTGCCTATAGGTAATTTCCTATACATTTTCTATCGGGCTGTATCCGGAAAAACCCATGGACAAATGCACATATAGAATCCGGTAGCGCCCGATAGATTATTTTGTATAGGTCTCTATGGGGTATTTTAAGCAGGGAAGCGTTTGACAGCTGATTATTAAAAGTTGTACTTTTGTTACGTTGATAACAGCCGAGTGGTGGCGCTACTACCCTGCTTAAAATACCCCATAGAGACCCTGTTCAAACCTATAGATATTTGTATCGGAATGTATGGTGTTTCTATAGGGTGTATCAGTATGTATAGGACCCATAGTTGGGATTTATGGTTGTTCTATAGGGATATCCACCCTTGATTTATTTGCTATTGGTTTTAATGGGGAAAATACACATAAATGTAGAAATTACTTTTTCCCCCAAAGGACCATATAGGTTTTAATAAAATTTTGTCAAGTGTTTTATGGTTTCTCTATAGGGATATACCCATATATCCTTCATTGAGTTATTTTCTATCGGTCTCAATAGGGAAAATGTAATGTTGTGGTGTGCCTATGGGTAGTTTCCTATACATTTTCTATCAGGCCGTATCCGGAAAAAAACATGGACAAATGCACATATTGAATCCGGTAGCGCCCGATAGATTATTTTGTATAGGTCTCTATGGGGTATTTTAAGCAGGGTAGCATTACTATGGGAAATTTATCCATATTTATACACTCCTTAATTTTACTAGCATTTGGTAATTTTACGTCCGCGCCTGTACTTTTACTGTGTTACTGCTGTTACCCGTTTTTTTTTCATTCTGTGCGTAGTATATTTACAGATGTGTTTTTACTGTGTACTTTACGAAAATTAGTACTAAAAAGCAACTTTTAGGTGATAAAATTATTTAATGTATACAATTTTACTGAACAAGTTTCAAGATGTCCTTGGTGGAAGAGTTATTGAAATTTGTTACTTTTGTTATTAAATGTAATGGGATCAAGATTTTTTTAATACATCTATGTTTTTAGGGTCAAAACCGATGCAGGATGGAAGTTTTATAACTTCTTTCACTTCTGAGCCCATTCAGAATACAGATATACTTTTTGAATATTCTTAAAATTTATTTTGTTGTTTAAATTAGTGTATTATTTACTATTTAAAAACAATTTTTTGCAATATTTTATTTAATTTATCAAATTTAAATAATTTAAAATTCTAATTATTAATATATACCTACAAAATAGATAAAGCCAGCCCTGCAGTATAAAACATAATAAAATATTTGGAATATGGCCCTAATTGGCAAGAGTTTATGACGTTCGTGTTGCTTAAATTTAATACAGAGGTCGCCCTTCTTATATGCTTTTTCTATGAAGACAACCCAAATATTACAACAAAAAAGCACGTTTTTGATGGTAAAATGTGAAAATTTGGTTCATTTCTAAATATGAATTTGGTTGAAATAGGTAAAATCGAGGGTAAAATCATTTATTTTAGGTAGTAAAATTTAAAAATTAGGTCCATCCCAGGCAACACAGGGTCGTAGAAATCACGTAGAATCGTCGACGAATCGGGTCGAATTTGGTCGAAGTTACATTTCAACCATTTTTAGACGTCTCAAAATTCACCAAAACACGACCAATTATTAACTTAGGTCGATGATAACCAATAAATGACGTCATTATCACGTGAACAGATGACGAAATTTTTAAGAAAATATAGTGATAATTAATAAGAAACAGTTGGCCCGTTTTAATGGGCCGACAAAAAGTTTTGGAATATTTTTAAAAACAAAAATTATTATTTTTATTTAATTTACGTTATTTCGACAGAGAATCAATGTGCAATATTTTATTAAAATAATTTTAAACATTATTTGGTTTTAAACTAATTAAGATAGATTTTTTAAAACAAATTCGCGATTTTTAAATCCTTTATCATTTTATCACAAAATAAGAAATTAACATGTTACTGCAGTTGACAATCACAATTTTAATTTTAGTAAAATTATTTATCTACAGTGTTGCCAGATGTTTTATAATTTTTTTTTTTAAATAGTAAAATTTAAATAATAATCGATAATTGTAACATAATTTAATCCGCCGCGTAGTTTTGCCTGTTTTTATATAATTTTTGTTTTGATAATTTTATATAATTTTCTGTAAATATTAATTTTTACACCTGGCAACCCTGTTTCTCTTTGGCATTGGGTAAGTTGGCACTACTTACAAAGCGAGGGAACGTTTATTCCTAAAAAACAATATGGTTGATTCAAGCGTCCAACTTCTATAATCTGTGGCATTTATACATAGAACAAACCATTTATACTGATAATACTTTGGCTGTGTCAGGTAGGTCAATTTTTATTTGTTTATTAATGTTTTAATTACTCAGTATATTCCGTAACGAAGTCTTAACACCTAAATGAAGTAAGTACCTACATAAGCTCCTAAAATATTGACCTGTCATCTGTCTTAAAATTTAATGTGTTTGATTTTATAATAAATGTTTTGAGCAACTTAAAACATGTTTTATTAATTATTAAACCAAAAGCCCTTTATGCACTGGTAAAAATAATTATTTATTCTTATATCCGATATTTTAATGCCAGATATATGCCAGACATATGTATAGTAAATTTAAAAGTAAACTACGTACACGTCATCAATCAGCTGATCGGGCACGGTTGTCAATGTGATGCTAAAATCCTTGCATAAAGGGAAAGTGGTAGTGCAACTACCTGGCGATAGATGGCGTTTACATGAATAAAACCAAAATGTCAAAAGTCTGAGTTTTTATAACCTATATGATGCACCGCCAAAAGTATGTTTTAGCCATTTTTAAAGACATTTTCTGATATAAAACCCAAAAATTTTGCCATCTAAAGTCAGTCTCTGGTATATATATTATTAATTCATGTATCCAACATATATTTTGTTAAATATTCTAATATATAATTAATAATAATCCTATTTACCTCTCTAACAGCTGTTAAAGGTAACAAAGGTCCATTATTATCCCGTTCTGCCTCAAAATAGCGTATTAAGGATGACACCAACTCTTGACTCCGACTATTTAAATGCTTCGGCATTTTAAATATAGGAAACACAAAAAAACGATATATAACAAACACAAAAACGGCAATGAAAACTTAAACGATATAAAATAACACAAACAACAAACAAAATAAACAAAATAATACACGAATTAAACAAAATATTCAAAAACACAACTGATAGCTTCGAAATTCTAAAACGTCAAATTCTTTTTTATGTGTCATTTAAATTTGAAAAATTTGAATGTAAACATGACAACATCACAATTGTTGCCAACTTAATTTGGTTAAAATGCATTCAAATATTCAATTACAGACTTCGATTTAGTCATTTAGTGTTGGTACCAATGCGTAAAATTTTTGTTTTATTGATGACGTGTACGTAGTTTACTTTTAAATTTACTATATGTTTTTCTGCAAAGATTAACTGGACCCCGTTATGCAACAAAGAACCAAACAACATATTTGCAGTTACGAGAAAATGAGGAAAAACGTTTCAGACTTTTGATTAAAAAATTTATTTATAAAAACACTTTTAAACTGAACAAACGCTATCATATTTTACTATATATGAACAGAACAATAATTTTAATGAACAAAAACACTTAAAAAGTTATTCCAAGTATGGAAAAAATACCTGGTTCCCTATTGCTTAATTGAAAATTTAACAAACATCACTTGGGTCCGCAACAAAGTTACAATAAAAATAAAAAAAACTTACGTATGTCAAAAAATAAAAGTTTTACTCTAAGAAAAACGCTTGGTTCTATATTGCGGAACAGGAAAAAATATATTATTGGTCAAAGTCAAAGTCTAACTCGCCATTATAACCTTCTATGTCTTCCTCTATTGAAGGGTCTCCTATTAGACTAGTATAAAAATTATGATCAGCCTCAGGAATAAGATGCAAATAACTGCGTATGTCATCTAGTTTTGGCTAAGCCACTAGTTTCACGTTTGGCCATAGCGATTCCAGTAACTGAGAAAACTGTACGTCTGAATTATTTGATTTTTTTCCCTTTCTTATATTTATTTCTTTATATTCAGTCTCATCAACACAGTCCGTTTTTATAAAGATACTAAATTTTTTTTATCTAGTAAGTTTTATTTGTATTCACGTTCTCTACTATTTGCGAATAATTCAAGTGACCATCAGTAAGTTTCTGAAAATAAATTTGCAATAAGGAACCAACTTGTATTCTCAAAAATTTATTATTTCTAAAAAAAAATTACATGATATTTAAAATGTTTACCTGACTACTAATAACTTGTCAAAGCTAGAATTTTTATTAAAGTTTTCCTCAACTGGCGGATTTAAGGAACCATAGTAAGTTTCTGAAAAGGATCCAAGTTTTATTTTTATTTTTTGTAACTAATAAGTACACCTTGTATTCAAATATTTATTACTATATTTTAAAAGACTTAGAAAAAAGGTTTTTTCACTAAAATACAATAAAAGCCGTAAAACAAATCCTTTTTTCAAAAATATAGTTTAAGGTAAAAACGTACCTGACTTTCATGGGTATTACCTACATACGTCTTCTGATGATGTCTGCGCTACTAACTTTGTGTTTTCTAATATCAGTAGTACACGTTGAGACACTATTTGTTTAAACATTTAAAAAAATAATAATATACCAGCTGACCAGCACTACTGCACAACAACGAATATGCCGGCAACAACAATAAACAGAGAACGCCGTGAAACACGTGGGAAATTCGCAAAAGGGAACCAACACATCTCAGAATTAGCAAAAGGGAACCAAGTATCTTTGGATCTTTATAGTAAATTACAATCGAAATAGTTTTGGTTATGCAAGTAAGTTCTATCGTCCGCCAAATGGCGCTAGAGCGCCAGATCTTTGGATCGCTATTGCAAATCGAGGGAAGACAATATTTGACTATGTATAATGCAATTAACTCGTTTTTTCGTAAATTGTCGGTTGGTTCCTTATTGCATAACGGGGTCCAACTAACAATTTTTTTTTGATATTCTACTTTTTTACATACATTTATTTTGATTATTAATTATTTACTAAATATATATCTACTATAGTAGTATATGTATACTATATATAGTAGGGTTTACCTATTTATTTCTTAAAATTTAAAAGTACAACTAAAAATTTTTTGTTTTAATTTTGACAAAATCACATTTCGCATTGAAATATCTGATATCAGTATCGGTAATTATTTTTATGTGTATGACCTAATCATATATTATTCAAGAAATATTACGTGATTATTCACGTCAAATTACGTAAATAATTACGTAATATTACGTGATTTTACACGTGAAATCGCTGTGACATATTGTCGTCAATTTAACGACGATAAGACGTGTCTAAGTTGGTGACTTCGACGTCACCGTAGACGTAAATTAAACGTGATTTTCACGTCACTGTGTTGCCTGGGATTTCTCTTAAAATTGAAAATTTAGGCAAAATCGGTAAAATAAAAACAGGCTCAAATGAAATAATTTTCTTCAAAACAGATTTTATTTAATTGCACCTAAAGTTATGAATAGCATAGAAAAATAAACACTAAAATCCTATCTTTTCTTATTGCTGAGATTAGGGTTTTAAAATTTCCGGCGGAAAAAATCGTTTTGTTTTTTTTTTTGGAAAAAAAGGGGAAAAATTGGGAAATTTTCAGAAAAATTGACATTTTTTTTTAAATTTTATTCAAAGGGTAATCGGTACGAAATATGCAAAAGACAATTTATCAAAAAATTTCCAAATTTTTACGAATATCCATTGGGAAAAAAGTGAATTTCCCACACTGATTATAATCATAATATTATGATTATAATAATTATTCCTTTTATTTTAATTTAAAGAATAAGAATATTCTACCATGTTCTATTAACACCCACATAACATGCTATGGATATGGATATTTTATGGATATACTTGATATATTCATTTATGTATATCCATTTGTGAATATTTTATGGATTTACTGAATATATTTTTTCATGTATATTCATAAAATTGATATACTTGATACATTCTTTTATGTATATCCATAAAATGTCCATAAATGGATGTACTTGATACATTCTTTCATGTATATCCATAAAATGTCCATAAATGGATGTACTTGATACATTTTTTCATGTATATCCATTTATGGATATTTTATGGACATACTTTGTATAACTTTTATATAATAAAAAATTAAATTTGAATTTTATATTATAAGCTTAGAATATACACTGGAATCAGTGTATCCTTTGAAAAATCGTTTTTGCTCCACTTGTTTGAAAAATTCCCTCTTGTATAGAAAAATAATAAAATTAATTAAAAAAATAAATAACTTTTAAACAAAAAACTAAGTACAAGACAAACCTATAAAAAATGAAACTATGTGGAAACATAAACACTGTAATATAAATTTAAATAAATTTAAATTTTTATTATTGCTGTTTAATTTTTGTGTAAAATTTATTTAAATTTTTGGGTATTTGAATTAGTTTTAAAAAAATCCCGTTTTGAGCTATTTTTTCCAACGATTTTGTGTTGAAAATTCCCGCTACGCGTCTGCACTATTTACTCACAGTATTTATAAGAGAACTTAAACTTAACCTAACAAATATGACAGGTAGTTTAAATTTTAAAAATAATGCACAAACACCATGTGACATGCGCATTGACTTGACGTTTAATTATCGAAAATGCAGAAAATCTTGTTTAAGTTTTTAAGTTTTGAGTATGTTTTTGATTTATGACTGGTTTGGTAGTGGTAAGGCGCCTTCTTGCTAAATTTAAAAATCCGCTATGGGTAAGAATTTATTTTTATTTCTTTTTCAATGAGAAGTGCATTTATATATTTTTTTATTTTGTTTATTAAAAAAAAAAATTTGTTTGTTTATTTTTAAAAAATAATTTTTTTTGTTTTTCAAGATTTTTATTACATACCCTAATATAATAACAATATGTTATGGATATCCATTTTCGGGTTTTTTAATATACATAATATATACCATGGATATATTATGGACATTCAGGAATATACATCATGGATATACTATGAATGTCCATATTACGAGTTTTTTAATGTACTTGATATATGTCATGGATATATTATGGACATCCAGGAATATACATAAGATATACGTCATGGATATACTATGGATATCCAAATAGAGGACAAAATCATATTTTATGGATATCCATGGTATATCCATACGATATTCGCGAATATACGAATATGCATAGATGTATATCCTATGTATATTTTCTTGTTATGTGGGCATAACTTTTATTTGACACTTCGATTTATAAAATTATAATTTTGTAATTTAGCTTTATAAATCATTTATTATTTTGTAGTTGATTATTTTTATGGACTCCTTTTTGCAAAAACACCCAACCGACAGTATATTTAACGTTAACGTTTATTTTCTTAAATCAATTTAATTTAATTCAATGTTAGTTTTTTTTTTGCAATAAAGCATATTTTTTTAATAAAAAATGTTAAGTTGTTCATGCTACTTTTTTTTAGAGATGGGAAAATTCCCATTTGACGAAAATTCCCGGAAACTTTCCATCGAAAATTCCCGAAATTTTCCGAAAGTTTAAAAAAAAAATTTTTTATTGCGAAAATATTTTTTTATGCCAGGGTTTTTTATGATGAAGCTGAATAATCCGGCTTCATTGAGGTTATGTAACATAAACTTACATTATTTTTACTTCTTCTTCTGCCTTAAATTAACACACATTAAATTCTTATTCAAAGTTTCTTGGCCTTGTATTATGGCCTTAACGAAAATCAGCGGTTAAACAATTGACATTTAAATGAAAAAAACAAGGAAAGTTTCCAAGGAATGTTTCCAAGGAATGTTTCCGGTAGCTTAAAAGAAATTCCCATTTGGAAACTTTCCAAAACGGAAAGTTTCCTTAAAATGGAAAGTTTCCGATTCCCATCTCTACTTTTTTTCAAATTAATTTTTCCCAAAAAACGGAAGAAAAAGTTTTTTCCCAATTTTTCCGTTTTTTTTTCGACACTCTAAAACCCTAGCTGAGATACAGAAAATGTTGGTAATATTTGTTTGCATTTTTCACTTAAACATTTACATGGTTTGCAAAAATGTAACTAAAATCATTATTCTTTACCTGATTGTTTTGTTGCTGGATCATACTCTGTTGCTGTTGCTGCATATGCAGCATTGCCTGATTCATGTTGTTCATCTGGGACATAGGACCATTACCATGGGTCATCATTTGACCTTGTCCCATGCTGTTAGGATTGTTTACCATATTGCTAGACACCATGCCCTGAGATCTCATCTGCTGATGCTGTTGCATACTGTTCATTTGCATGCTACCAGAGTTCATATTAAAACCTAAAAAATATCAATTTATTATGTTTAAGCGATTAATTAAATTTAAAAAAATCACCGTTCAATTTTAACAGATTTTTATTATTACCTTGTTGGAAATTGGGCCTTATATTATTAAAGTTGCTATTTTGTTGTTGGCTCATCATCATATGGCGCCACTCAGTCGAACCATGTTGTATGGAGTCCATGCTTCCTCCCATTGGAGGTGCTTGTTGCCTTGGATACATATTTCGGGAAGCTGCCATGTGTTGCTGTTGCTGCTGCTGTTGTTGCTGCTGCTGCTGCTGCTGGAGCATGTACATGTTTGATCGGATCATTGGACCTAAAAAAAAACAAGTTAAATTAGTATTGAAAACAAAGCAGAGGGAAGTTGGCGAATAAGATAGTAAGTAACTAAATAACACTGGTTAACCAAATAAAAAAATATAATGACCGACACATATGTTTGAAAAATATACTTAATTTTAATCTGTGGAGTTTGCGACATATGTACATGGGTTATTTTTAAATTTCTTATACATTTGCTGTAACTTTAATATTTTATAAAAAAATGAGTTCAACGCCATTTGGAACTTTACTAAGCAAAAACAATTGGTTTAAGTGTTTTTAGCAACTAAGAAAAAAAAAGTCTTTATTGGGTGAACCAAAGGGCTATCGACCTAGGTCCTTCTGCCCGTATTTTAGCAACTGTATGTTAGTAAAATTGTAAAATTTTAAATTTAACCCCATACAAAAATAAAAGTTTCCCCAACAGTACAGAAAAGTAGATATCCCACTTGCAATAATATTCACTACTTAATTCTATTTAAACATCTAAGAGTAAAATAACATCCTGCTTTTTTTATATAGTTGAGAATATATTCCAAATATTACAAAAAAAGCCCATTTGTGGTAATATTGAAAAATACCAGTGGTTAGAATAAGTTTGTCCCTCAATTTTGGTCCCCTAGGTCACGTCTCCTGGGTCACAGCTTTTATAAATGACCTTTTGAATTGAGCGCACATTTATTGGTGTAGGAATTTCCTACTAGGAAATGGTGTTTTGAACTATCTTGAAGCCACAACACTTTTTTTGTATTTTTTATACCAGCGTGGCAAAACTGTTCACAGTAATAAAAAGTAGTAAAGGTACCAGTTGGACTTTGTTTGATTCTTATAAGTAAGTATCCTAGTAATGGTTTTAAGGGCAAAATACAGTAAAGAGGATATGTTCTAAAATCATACATTTTTTCCCTGGGTCACATGTCTCCTGGGTTACATATTGTGTGACCCAGGGGAAAGTTATGTGACCCAGGGGACAATTCCAAAGAAATAAATTATAATAATTTTTTTAAATAATAATGAACTTATAGTAAAGTTTTAAAAACATTTTTATTTTTGACCTTTCACCTTTTTTGTTTCTGACAATAGGAAGCCAATTTAAAATAATGTCCTCCACCTATTTAATAGTAATTTTCCCAGTCAATGTATTTTGCCTCAAAGAAGCAAGAACAAAATTTTTGGTAGTTCAACAAAACAATGTTTATATTGACTTTTTATTATAATTTTATTAATATAACTAATAACTAAAACTTTTTATTAATTTATTGCTTGTTAAATTGGACAAGCTGGGCCCAGATATAAAATTGAGATAAAAAGTTTTTAATTAATATGTATTAAAAGAAAATATTTTAAAGTCACTTTTTTAATGGCCATTTTTTTAAATACATATATTAAAAATACTTATGTATGTAAGAAAGTTGACAAATACAAAATAGTTTTTGCTTTTACTTAGTTTTGTACTTAACATTTTTTTTATAAATAATAAATTTATGTTCTTTTTTTAAACAAATCCTAGTGTAAATAAAACCTTAAAAGGATTATTAACAAGCAAAAAATATATATTTTCAAAATGATTAAGCATTTTTATATAAGTTTTTTTAATATGATAGTAAATTTGTGACCCAGGGGACCATTTTTTTTCTTTTTTAAGGGCCCATTTTAAAAAATCCAACTGCCCACTTTTAGGTGTTAAATAACAACCCTAAATAAACAAAATTTGGAAAAAAACAGGTTTGTGGATAAAGTTTCTGTTTTTACTTTTTTCTTCTTTAAATGTACAAGAATTTTGAAAATGACCCACATAACATGATATTTAGTAACTATTTACTATTCTTTTGCTATAAAAAAAATTATTTTGATATAATAATTTTGGACTATTTTTTGCTGTATTAATTATTTTATAATTTAAATTTTTACCTGATGGTGGCATGGGTTGATGGGGCATCCTCCTCATATTCGGCGGCGCCGCTCCATACCTTGGAGGTACTCCTTGCATCATTCCGGCACTAGTTTTATAATCTGGAGGTGGAGGCCTGACCATCTGCTGCATAGCAACCTGATGCTGCGCTCTTAACATATGTTGCTGGTGAAGGAGCTTTTGTTGCTCCATGGTTTGCGCGCTCACCAGTCGTTGACCAACGCCCGGTTGCTGACTCATTGGGTTCGGGCCCATGGCAGTATTCGCAGGCATTGGGCAGTTCGGAGCCATCGTGTTTGGTACTCCGGGTGGTCCGTTGGCTCGCCGCAACGTTTGCTGCGTAAAGTTAATTGTTTGCGTTTGGCTCATGGAGTAGGAGTCGGCGTTATGGCCACCAAGATTTCCGGGTATGGCGCCTGGGTGTTGCATTCCAGGACCACCCATCATACCGCCGCCCATGGCATTTTGCATACCACCAGGAGCCGATACCGAACCCTGCATACCCTGTTGGTTTGGCATACCGCCCATGGATCCTAAAAAATAATAACATTTTACTTGGTTTACGGAAAATATATATAATGGGGTAGTTAAATTTTTTCTGACCTATACTTTTTATGGTTTTATTCAAGGCGTTTTCAGTGAAATCGGAATTTCAATTGAGTTTACCGTTTTCGAGATATTTACAAAAAATATAAATTTTTATGACGTCACAAACCTCGCCATGTGACCAACATTCTAAGATTTCTATTGGTTGAAAATTACCCTGTTGTCAAGTTGTCTTGTTAATGATTTCATTCGGTTATGTCAGAAAATACCCGAAGTTATGTACAAATACTGTCACTGTCAGTTGAGTGAAAGAAGAAGAAGAGGAGGTTAAAGAAAATTCTGAAATTAAAAGTTTTATTGATAGGTTTACACATTGAAACACCGTGTGAAACCTAATAAAATGTAATAAATAGGTACCTTATAAATGTCTAAAGCAGAGTTTAATATATTTCATAGAAAAAAGTGGCAAAATAAAGCAGAAAATTAATGAAATAAATTTACAAAAAATAACAGTAAATGTAAGTTAACAATGGTATTTATGATATTTGTGTATAGTTTTTATAAAACTTGCATCCCTGATGATGAGCATCAAAACCTTTTGTAAGATTAAAAAAATGTATGACAAACTTTTGGACTGTTCGAAGATACTACGCTCTAGAGTACATTTTTGTACTTTTCGACAATTCTGGTTTAAATATTGCTGCAATAACGTACAGAGTAGGTAAAGATAGTGCAGGGTCAACAAATAGACATTTTTATTAAAATAATATAATAAAATATATCTTCTGTGTAGAGAAACAGATGGTCACCAAATTCATTAAGTACCTATCTTCCTTATTACGAGGTATCATATTACTGTTTGATATTTTAGAGTCCAAGATATATCTAAAAGAATATAAAGAACTAGGCATTATACTAATGAAATGCATTTACGACAAAATATGATTATAATTATAGGTACTTACTTTATTTGTTTAAAAGCTCCAATGTTCATTCCACAAGATTCCTCTGCTTTGGAGTCCGTTATTAATAAATCACTTATCTAATATCAATTACAACTAACATAACAATAAGATTGATTTTCAATAATCTAAATTTAAAAAAAACATAACCCGAAAAAAAGAAACGTCAAAAAATCAATTCTTCTTCTTCTTCTCAACTAAAATTATAGATCAAGTGGTTTTAAAACTAAAATATTATAACGTGGCGCCATCTATCGTAAGAATCTTAAACTAAACACACTGGCAACCATAGAAAAAGCTGGCAACGTTGTCAATAGCCTAGTGACGTAATTAGGAGATTTTGTTTTGTAAATATCTCGAAAACGGTAAACTCAATTGAAATTCCGATTTCACAGAAATGTTTAAAATTACAAAACGCCTTGAATAAAACCATAAAAAGTATAGGTCAGAAAAAATTTAACTACCCCATTGCTCTAAATAAATTATTTTCAATAAATCTTTTCAACAGTTTTGATAAACTATTAAAACCATAACATACCCTGATTATTCATTTGCTGTGGACCAGACATCATCGAAGCACCCATTTGTGGTCCGCTTTGCGACTGGTTCATACTGGCACCGTGCGGGCTGTTCGCGTGCATATTTTGATTTTGATGCGATTGATTTTGAGACAAGGGGCTATGTTGTGGCGGTACATTTTGGCTTTGCCCTGCTGATGCGTTGTTATTTGTCGAGTGCTGGTTAAAGTGCATACCTTGTTGCGCAGCTATTGAAACATTGCCTTTGAGATCGCCACTTAGGTGCAAATGTTGGCCAGCTGAGACCTAAGGAAATATATAATTATAAAAAATATTTACTATTAAGAGTAGTTTTAAAAATATTACCAATTTATTTAAAAAAAATATTTTGGATATATTAAGAAAGGGTTCTTGAAAATAATGTGTTATATATAATCTTTATTATACGGGGGTTTTTAAGTAATTTTTTTATTAAAAGAATTTTTGAAAATTAATACATTTATATTTTTATACAGAAATGGGAAGGCTCCATTATTTATTTTAGGCGCACTGTCAAAAATATTTTTGGTAAATTTAGAAAAACGCTTTAATTTAAAAATATATAAACTTAGTTTCCCTAAATTGGCGGTTCAAAGGGTAAAGGTAACTTTCCTTTGAATTTCAAAAACCAATTTTCCTTAACCCTTTTTTAAATTCGAAAAATTGCAGGAGTTATTTAACTTTTAAAACTGCCAATAAGCGCGGAAATTTTCTGCTTCATGGATCCATTAAACGAGCTCATATTTGCTCGAATGTAGGTAGGCAACCAAGATTACAAATTGATAATTTTAAATTATAAATGAGGACCATCCGTGCAAAACCGGCTATATCCATTTTAATAAAATGTTGGGAAAATGGCAAAAACCCCCCGTTTCCTGGCCTTTGCAGATAAAAAATGCATCTTGAGTTTTGTGGGCACAAAACTCAAGATGCATTTTTTTGGGCACAAAACGCATTTTTTTATCTGTAAAGGCCAGGAAACGGGAAGTTTTTTCCATTTTCTCAACATTTTATTAAAATGGATATAGCCGGTTTTGCACGGATGCTCCTAGTAGTAATTACTCCTTCAAAAAAAAAAACAATTCATTCATTTACGTCCATTAGATTTGTTTAGCTGCAAAAATTAATATGTAAATTTGCTTATAATTATTATATACTTACATACATTGCATACAATTCTTTCAAAATTACTTTTATTAAGAAAAGTTAAAATTTTTAATAACATCCTTATTTTTACTGTAAAAATTTTACATATTGTAAAATTAATCCCTAAAAAATAATCCGTTGGTTTATTGATAATATTTTTACAAAAATTGCGAATACACCTTGGTTAATAAGAAATTATTAATAATTTACAACTCAAAATAATTATTTGTAATCTGGGTTGCCTACCTATATTTAAACAAACGCGCTGGCTCAATAGAGCAGAAAATTTATACGCTTTCATTGGCAGCTTTAAAAGTAAAACAACTTCTGTAATGTTAAATGCAAATTTGTCTTGGAATGTTAAGAGGAATTGCCTTTACCCTTTCGACCCTTTGTAACACCATGTATAAAAAATATTCACTGTTGTTTAAAAGATTTGCAATTGTTCTTTGTAATAAACATAAGTATATACAGGGTGTTCCAAAAATAATTTAATATGTTAACTCTCAGTATATTTTTTATATACATATATAATGTATGTAAAAACTATCAGGGAAGTCAGATTTTTAACAATAGATCAGACATTGCATGTTGCCTGAATTCTACTTGTATTTTAAATACTTTGCCTATTTAGAACATACAGTTGTTTATAATTCAAATCATAAATAGTTAAAATTATTAATTGATAAAAAATAATTTTAATATTTACCTATTAGTAAATGTTGAGCAAATAATTATATATTTTATGTTATTTTATTTACAAATTTAATTATCATTAAATTTTTTGATATTTTTACCATATACCACATAAATTGTGTTAATATAAGATTTTACTTGGTAACAAATTCCCAATGTTCATCTTAAATATGGCAACGTGGCACCCCGATGAGCAATCTCCGTCATCCGCCCGCGCTATACCGTTTTATTATCCATCTCTTTTCCACTTGTTGGGCTGTATCTTGTTTCAAAAACACCGTCCGATAAAAACTGAACAATCTTAAAAACATCACTGCGCGACACAGAGATGGATGTTTAAGAATAGACAGGACGATAAACATAAACAATTAAAAATGGAACGGTTCGATGATTCGTATTCGGATTACTAAATACTTAGATGTAATACAAACATGGACAACATTAAGGATAACGTGTTGGGCAGTAATTAGAAATATGGGGTAGTCACAGTATAGAAAGACCAGTACAGACATTTGCTATTTATGAATGAAATCGTGTCGCCAAATTACTTAAACGGTCTCGACTGATCCCCAAAAATCAGAGATCATGATTGAAGCTCGAACGCATTTTTCCCAACCGCGGTCACAGATATGAGCCGCAGAGAGTAGGGCCGCTTAGATTCCGTACCGCTCTCTTTCTCTTTCTACTATAGTTTAGTTTGGTTAAAGTGTAAAAAGATCAGTAAAAACACTTGCGCTATTTATGACAACTTGTGTCGCCTAATTAAACTGCCTCGACTGATACTAAAAGCTTGTAACGTTGCGAAAGACGCATTCCTCTTAGATTTCATACTGCCCTCTTTCTAAAACAGTTACTGCAACGCGCAAGCTTTGTCTTAACATTATAACTTCCTGTTGATTTCACAAACTTAAACCGATGAAAATAACGGATACAGATTGAAATAACTTATCGAATAAAGCAAACTGAATTGTAATAGAATTAAAAATAGAAAGTTTCGCAATAGATTTGGCAACATTGCAAGGCAGTGGTGTCACCGAAAGGGTGTTGATATACAGGTATCCGCACTTGCAATTCGTGGGAATGTGCAAGCTTCCTATAGTATGTTATATACTATACGAAAGAACCGTTAGTATCAAAACAGTAAAATTTGCAGCAGTTAACCGTAAAATCTTATCCGCAAAAATAAACTAAGTTTGCTTTAAAAATTGGATATCAATTGATTGATTATAAGAGATTCAAATGGGGCACCTAACAAACGACCGAACACGAGATATCGGAGTTTGGACTTGTAAAAATGACCGGGGATTGTCCGGTCCGCATGGTGCAATAAATCACCAGAAAATCCCCAGCATTACCCTGCTACTCGAAACCGATATCCACCAATTACTACTGGCCATCATTCACGGTAACTAATGTTTAACTTCCACCCAAATTTGCCATATCAATTGTAGTCGTGCATATTAAAACATAAAGTAAAAACATAACTGCCGTCAATTAAGGATTCAATAAGGTATTATTTCAATACACTTAGCCGAACCTAATTTTAATTATAACGGTGCCTGAGTGTTGTAGTTATATTGATCCAATTGTCAATAACAATGGCCATTTACGTCACACAGGATATAGACAATTCTTGTATTAGTCTTAAAAACAATTCTTAATAACATTTTAAGCGTAATTTAAAATTTGATAATTTATTTGTAAAAGTTACAATTAAAAAAAAATGTCTTGAAACATCAAACTTTATGCTCCATTAATGTAAATATCAATTCTGAACTTTCCTATTTTCTCCAGTGTAAATGTGTGTTCTTTAAAAATAGAAGAAAGTATAAAATGGGCCGCAGAAATATACACGTATGTCCTCGTTACAGATTCAAAGGAAACTGTATTTAAATATGAAAAAATATAGTTGTAGTTAATCCAAAATTGCTTCATTTAGCCGGTAGATGGTGTCAACGATTTGATTAATTGTTTTTCCAAATTTATTGAAAACGTGCTTTTTAATTTTAGTGACTTTCGGTGTATAACACCATCAAACTAAAAATAAGGTGACCATTTTTCTAAAATGAAAAACCAGGAAACAACATGCCCCTACGCGCCCTTCCAAAACATAAACCAAATTTTATTTGGTTTATTTTATTCAATGTTTATTACTAAGTTGTGCTAATAACGTCAACTCGTGACTAAAAATTAAAAATATTTTTTTCGGGCAAAACCGGTTATTTAATACAAAATTTTTTTTATATAAAAAAAATACGCGGGTTGTCATAAATTTGATGCCAAAAAATTCAGCAGGTTCAGATCACTTTTGCTTATTTATATCCGGTCACCATATTACTAGAAAACGTCATTTTATAGTGTAAGACTATATCTGACACTATAAAGTGACGTTTTCTAGTGTCAGATATTATTAAGCAAGTGATATGAATCTTCTTAATTTTGGCATCAAATTTATGACCACCTACGTTTCTTTTATAAAAATGAATGTAGGTATTTAGAAGATTTTTTTCTATTTTGAACATTTATATATACATTTTTTATAAAAATGAATGTATTTAAAAGCTTTCTTTTTCTTTCTACATACATTTATATATACACTATACAGGGTGTCCGGAAAATAGTATGCATTAATCCACAAGCGGTTTTAGGGCCAAAATAGATAGAAAAATGTATATGAACATAAATTGGCAAATGGCCCCTAAGGGACCTACATCCTTTTTTGTCTGTGGTGTAGAGTATTGCACACTATTTTCGGGACATCCTGTATAATAACTAAAATCAATTGGCACGTTTTAATAAATTTTGAAAAAAAAAACAATTTAAAAAAATCTTTGATGCCCTCTACCGGCTAAACAAAGCAATTTCGGATAAAACTAAATTGGCTTAAATCTCTGACTCTGACATCAAACGTTGTAAAGAAATTTTTTGATGAAATAGATTTTAATTTTAATTTTTTAAAAAAGATATAAATGCGAAATAATTATTGTTAACGTTCCTCGAAAACGAAGCAAATTATATACCCTCTATAGTAACAATTAGTGTTATATGGTGCCTTTATTATGAAAACTTTGAAATTCTAAATAGCAAGTATCTAACTATTTCCAATACTTTTTACAATGTTGCTAATTCAGCCGTGTAACACGTAATTATAATAATTTCTCGCGTAGTTTTTAATAGTTGTCGTAAATTTAACGCCAGTAGATATCCGAGAGTTCATAAATGGCGAATTTTCTAGCCATCTAATGATCATTAATAAAAACCATCACATTCAAGGAGAATAACGAACTGTATATACAGAATTTAAAGCTATAAAGTATGTTTTGCAAAACTTTATAAATAAATATTGTATTTATTCTGATTTCTAGTTTAAATAAAAATCAATACCATGTCCCACACATGTTTGACAAAACAGTTTGTTGTTTTTG